GGGAGCAGATCTCGGCGCAGGACCTCGCAGACACTTACCAGACTCCGTTCAGAAGCTGCGTCGTGGAGGGCCACACCAACAGACTAATGTGCTCCTACAACCTCGTCAACGTCGCCCCCACCTGAACGGACTACGGTCTTGTGACAAGAACGGCGAGGGATCACTGGGTTTCAACGGGTAGGCCACCGACGGATCAAAATTGAAAACGAAATATCTCCAATCTGTCTCGTCATCTTCTTAAAAACAATAGTTTCTCATGTACATCGCCCCGGACGAATGAATTAAAATCATACTTGATTCTATGAAGGCACAAGTTCGAGGATGGCTTTTTGGATCAGCAAGTCATCCAATGACTTACTCTAGAAACATGAGATGTTCTAAGAGTGATTCACAATGTGTGACCCAAGGACCATAACCCCCTATTTATAAATAAGAAGTGGTTAACCTCTTAGTGTCTTTTTTTAATTTAGCCCATCATAAAATTAGAATAAGGTTTAGTCTCTACATATATTTATATTGATCTTCACACTTACAAGATAAGTCGTAATCTAAAATACTTAAATTCTAATGAATCACTTTAAGTGAGATTAATTCAATGATAGCCTCATAATATACGATTCATATATATCATTGTCCACATTGAGATTAATTCTAACAATCTCTTATTTGGACAAAAATATATATGATAACTTAATATTGTATATTGTGACCTTATGAGCTCAATTTTTTTTTACTATCATTACTAAAGACATATCCAACAATTTAGTCCATCATTATATCAATATATAATTAAAAGGGTTTTCGTTCACATTTTTCACATGATTGAACCTAACAATAATCACATATATCAATATAATAAATGACATAGATCAAATATAGATGTGTAGTATAAAAATTACTTGAAATGTGACTCATTTATGTACATTTCTAACTTAGTCCTCCTTATTTTGAAGGAAAATCAAATAACCACATTTTGAATGGGAATAATCATAAACTTTATTCATACATAAAATAGCCCATATGTCTATAAATATATGAGCATCAAAATACAAACTCCCACTGAAATTACAAATCCTCATGAGATATTATACCTATATGAGTAATACACTCATAAAAGACCTTTGGTAACAGTCCCTTAGTAAGTGAATTTGTTACCATAGAGTTTGTCACAATATGTTTTATAGACATTAGGTCACTCTGAACTCTTTTCTTAATAACTAAGCACTTGATGTCTATATATTTAGACTTTGTCAAACTCTTATTCTCATTAAAAACATAACGGTTGATTTATTGTCACAAAATAACTTTAGTGGTATTTCAAATCCATCCATAATTCATAACCTTATGACAAAATTCTTCAACTAAATTCTATAATTAGATGTCTCATAGTATGTTATAAACTCTGTTGTCATAGTAGAAGCTATGAGTGTCTATTTAATACTTTTTCATGATATAGTTTCTCTAACTAGCAGATAGATATAGCCTGTAGTAGATTGTCTGCTATTAGTGCATCTAGTGAAATCAAAATTTGAATATCAAATGATCTCCAAATGATCTGATTTCCTATATATGAGCATATATTTCTTTATCTTTTGATTTCTTTTCAATGATCCACACAAGGGTTGCTTAAATCTCTATCTAGTACTCTAATTATGTACACAATATTCGGATGCATACATACTTGAGTATATATAAGGCTTCCTATGGCTGATACATAAGGAATCTTCTACATCTCTTTAGCCTCATAATCATTCATAGGACATTGATTGAGACTAAATTTGTCTCCTTTAATAACAGGGATATCATAAGGTTTACATTCTTGCATACCAAATCTCACATGGACTTTCTCGATATAGTTCTTTTGTGACAACCCTAGGATATTTCGATACCGACCTCGATATATCTCAATGTCTAATATAAAAGATCTTTCACTGAGATCTTTTAGTGTCACAAAATAAGCTTATATCATTATTGATAAGTAATATGCCATCGACATATAAAATCAGAAATATATTTTTACTCTCATTGAACTTATGACATATACATTCATCACCCATATTCATCTCAAAACTAGAGAATATGATAACTTGATGAAATTTGTGATACCATTGACGTGAAGCTTGTTTTAATCCATAGATAGACTTGTTTAATTTACATACTATTTTCTTTGAGTCTCTAGATACAAAGTTTTCTAGTTGCACCATATATATCATTTCATCAATGTCACCATTGAAAAATGTGGTCTTTACATCCATCTGATGGAGCTCAAGATCAAAATGAGCTGCTAGTGTCTTTATTATTCTAAAAGAGTCTTTTAATGAAACTGGAGACCAAGTCTCTATATAATCAATACCTTCTCTTTGAGTGAATCTCTTAGTGACAAGACAAACTTCATATCTTTTCATATTACTAACTAAATATTTTTTATTACTGTAAAGAAAATTCAGTAAATTTATAATTTATAAATATTAAAAAATAAGTGAATTTAGAATAATTTAATTTTATATGGGTTTTTCAAGTCGAACACAAGGAAGATAAGAAATTAGTTAATTATATTTATAATTTCTAATTTATAGATTATTTTTTTAGATTTTTTAATTATGAAAGTTAATAAAGATAATTTTAAAAATAAGAGAGTAGGGATTATGATGTCACCTGACATCAACCCACAAAGAACACCCCCAAATTTGAGTCGCCAGAAATACATCAACACATATTTCTCAAAATCAAAGCCAAAATACTTAGAAATAAAGTTTGATTTGAAAAGAGAAATTATTTGTAACACGATGTAGAACTGAATAAAACTTTTTATAAATTAAAAAGAAAGCAAAATCATGTAAAGATTCAAGTTTTACGAAAGAATGGAGGGAATGGTCGGTGATCAAATTTTCGTCTAAATTCGATTGATTTATGTAAGCACAGTGCACCGAATGGATTCCTACACAATCTCTAGTCAATGAATGATGATCCCAAAAACATTCACTTGCTAGAACTGGTTGATGACAGTGGTTCAACTCCAAGCATGCCGCAATGTTTGGAGAAGGATCCTCAGAAGAAATTATTTGCCGTTTGTATCGAGCGAAGAATGGGACAAGTTCATGGATGAAGTTCAGCTTCTGTAGCAGCTGAATCAGGGAGAAGTTGACAAGAAATTCATTTTTTGTACCGGATAAGATGATATGGGTGAATCCGGCATTCCTCGCCACTAGAGGAGTGAGAAACTAATTGTGGAGAGTGATAGATTAATCAAAGATGTCCCATTCTTCGTTCTTCTAGCATTTTTCCATCTTCTTGTGCATTAATTATGTTGATTTCGTCAAATTATCTGCCATACTTGCTGTATTCATTACATCCATCATTGTTGCGGAAAACCTAAAAAAGGAAATTAGTCTTGTATTTTAATTTTATTATATTATTATTATTATTTATCGTAATAAGCTCAAGAAAATTTAGGAAAATTTCTGAAATAAATGCAATTAACATAGAAGCATTTTGATAATAATATTCATCATTAGAAAAACCAATCAAACTATTTCATAGTCAATTTCGTCATGTAATTTCTAGAAATTAATAATATAACCATATAAATAAGTTTAATATCATTTATTCTAGATTAAAGGAATTTATAAATATTCCTGTAAAATTAAACAATAAATTATAAAATATTAAGAATTTTATCATGTAACTAATGAGAGTTATCACACCCCTTGACTTACCTCATTGCTAGTCCCTTAGCAATAATAATAAAGATGTAATTATTTTGTTGAATATAACTTTCTTAAATTTCATTCTAATGCTTTGATTTAAATGATGTGTTAAAAATGTTTCTTTTTATTAAAAAAAATCAATATTCTCTATTGAAAATTAGATCAAAACCATAATCAGAGATGTAAGAGTTTATATCTATTCATGAATAAGATCCAATCATTTCACATATCATTTCATAATTCATAAATCTAAGTCCTCTTCTTCTTATTTTTAAAATTTCAGAATTCCTCATTACAAAATCTAAACCAAATTTCTATAAAATCTGTATATCTAAGGTTCATAAGATAAGAATTAAAAAGAAAATTAATCATTCATGTTCAAACTATCCCAAATAATCAGATTTTGGTTTCCTTCAATTCATGTTCCATTCATGATATGTGGAATTTCTTTCATCTATTCATGCTTGATATATTTTCCTACTTCTTATGGATACAATTTCTGATTTTCAGAAAAGAATAATAAATAAATTCTACAATTTCAAATGTTTCACAATTTTCACTCTCTACCCCCCTGACTAAAATCAGCATTGTCCCCAATGATGTAAAGAAGTCTAACCACTTAAATATTTGTAAAATTTTAGAAATCATATATATCAAACAAAGACAAAATCAGAAAATAAAAAATTAAATAGGTGAGGTTAGAGTGATAGCACCTGCACTTCTTGATTCAATCATCTATTTTTATTTTTTTAGTAAAATTCAGATTTTTTGATCACTCATGTGCATCCCTTTTCTTGTGGAACTTTTTGCGGAATTTATTATAAAGTAAAATAAGAAGAGCAAAGAAATACTAAGTAAAAACTAAAAATAAGTAAAAGTATTTGTATACATGTTTTTATTCTGGTTCTAATAACGATATAGATTCTTTGGCTCCTAATTTTTCATTCTCCAAATAAATCTTTAATCTTTGGCTATTTATCTGAAATTCTCTATGATCTATGGGATCTTTAATGAGAACAACACCATGATCATAAATTTTCTTCACAATATATGGACCTATCCATTTAGACTTCAATTTTTCTGGAAATAATTTGAGTTTAGAAACATAAAGCCATACTTTTTGGTTTGTTTCAAATTGCTTTCTTCTAATATATCTATCATTAAATTCTTTAGTGCGTGCTTTATAAATTTTGCTATTGTGATATGCCTCATTTCTAAGCTCTTCTAACTCTTCAACCTATAGTAATCTATTTTTTCCAGCCTCTTTCAAGTTCATATTAACTGTGTCAATGCTCATAATGCTCTATATTCAATCTCTATGGGAAGATGACATAGTTTTCCATAGATTAACCTAAATGGAGACATTCCCAAAGGTGTTTTAAAAGTGGTTCGATAAGCCCACGAAGCATCATCTAATTTTGTGAACCAATCTTTCCCATTCAGTCTCACAATTTTCTTTAAGATTCTTTTTATTTCTCTATTTGCTACTTCAACTTGTCCATTAGTTTGTGGATGGTAAGGAGTTGCAATTCTATGCTTCACACCATTTTTTCTTAATAATTCTCTAAATTGGCAGTGTGTAAAATGAGTTACTCCATCACTGATAATAGCTTTGGGACAACCAAATCTAGAAAATATTTGACCATGAATAAATTTTATGACAATCATATGATCATTTTTTTTATGGCCTTTACCCACTTAGACATAATATATAGCTAATAAAATAAATTCAAAACCAAATGAAAGTGAAAAGGGACCATGAAATCAATTCCCTAAACATCAAAATTTTGAACAATCAAAATAGGTTGTAAAGGCATCTCATCTTTCTTACCTATATTTTCAAATGATTGACATGAATGACATGTTTTACAAAAATAATGAGCATCCTTAAATAAAGAAGACCAAAATATCCACATTGTAAAAAATTTAAAGCAATCTTCTTTCCAGAGAAATGAACACCACAATTAGATGCATGACACATTTCCAAGATATTAGATTGTTCATCATTTGGTATGCATCATCTAAAAATTTGATCTAGCAATATTAAATCAAGTTCATTCTAAAAATATCTTTTGATTCGAGCAAAGAAATAATCACATTTAGATTTTTTCCAAAAGTTTGGTAACTAATTTGCTCGTCAGGGGATGAATCATGTAAAGGAATGATATCAGCCTCTAGAGTACTTAACCTTCACAAATAATCAGCTACTACATTCTCAAAACCTTTTTTATCTTTAATTTCCAAATAAAATTCTTGAAGCAATAAAATCTATCTCAAGAGACATGGTTTAGTATTGTTTTTAATAAGAAGAAACTTAAGTGCAGCATGATCAGAATAAATAATAATTTAAGATTCTAGAATATAAGATCTAAATTTTTCTAATGCAAAGACAATTGCCAATAATTATTTTTTTGTGGTTATATAATTTAATTGAGCATCAGAAAAAAATTTACTTACATATGTTATTACCATAGATCTTCTATGAATTCTTTGCCTTGAGACAACCCCAATAGCTTGGTTAGATGCTTCACACATAATTTCAAATGGTAAAGACCAATTTGGAGACTATAAAATAAGTGCTTCAGTCAATATTTTCTTAATTAAATTGAATGCATGTAAACAAAAGTCATAAAAAATGAATGGTATATCTTTAGCTAAGAGGGAAGTAAGTGGTTTGACTATTTTTGAAAAATGTTTGATAAGTCTCTTATATAATCCAGCGTGACCTAAAAATGAACGAATTTGTTTAATAGAAGTTGGAGCTTGTAATTTAGAACTTCTATTCCTTTATCACTTACCACATGACCCAAGACCACTCCTTTTACCATAAAATGACTCTTTTCTCAACTCAAAATTAAATTCTTTTCTATGCATTTCTTAAGAGCCTTTTCTAAATTATGAAAGCATTCATCAAAGGAAGTCCCAAATACAGAAAAATCATCCATAAATACTTCTATACCATTTCCTATAATTTCTGAAAAACATAAAATCATGCAATCTTGAAAAGTAGCTGGGGCATTACAAAGACCAAAAGGCATCCTCTTAAAAGTAAAAGTACCAAAAGGACATGTAAATGTAGTATTTTCTTGATCATCTAAAGAAATAAAAATCTAATTATAACCTGAATATTCATCCAAGAAACAAAAATATTTTTGATCTGCTAACTTTTATAAAATTTGATCTAAAAATGGTAAAGGAAAATGATATTTTTTAGTTTCTACATTTAACTTTCGATAATCAATGCAAACTCGCCAACTAATGGTTAATCTTGTTTTAAACTCTTCTCCTTTTTTATTTTTTATTACAGTCAATCCAGATTTTTTTGAAACCACTTGGATAAGGCTCACCCATTTGCTATCTAAAATTGGATAAATAAGATCAGCATCAAGCCATTTCACAATTTCATTCTATACTACCTCCATAATATTTGGATTTAATCTTCTTTGAGGTTGTCTACTAGGTTTAGCTCATTCTTATAAATAGATATGATCTGTGCATATATCTGGATTTATTCCCTTTAAATAAGATATCTCCAAACTATTTGCTTTTTACATTTCCTCAAAGTTCAAGTAGTCTCATTTCTTGATATTCCTCCAAATCTGTAGCAATAATAATAGGAAATGATTGATCTTGTTCTAAGAATGCATATTTTAATTTATTACGTAATTCTTTAAGCTCTACTTTAGGATTATTTTGTTACTATGATTTTCCTTAAATCCAAAAAGTTCTTCTAATTTTTCTGTATTTTCAGCTTCTTCTAATACTCCTTCAAATTGCTCCTGAAATTCTTCAAAATCCCATGAATATTTAATTTCTTGATTGTCAAAAGTTTTCCGCACACAATCATCCACATCATCCATTTCATTCATTTCTTCAACTTCACAAGTTTGCATCAAATCTTTTTTATGTCACTCAATTTTTTTTGTACTTGCTAAATTTTCTGCTCTTTCAAAAAAATTAATTTCCACAATTTAATCTCCACATTTGATTTTTGCTATTCCTGTTGGGACATCAATATTTATTTGAGTAGTATTAAAAATTGATCTACCAAAAATAATAGGCATTTCACTAAATTTAGAATGTGAATTAATTTCTGAAACCACAAAATCAGCAGGAAATGAACATCCTTTCATAGTTACAACTACATCTTCTAATATTCGTTTTGCATTTTTAATTGACAAAACTGCAAATTGAAGCACAATAGAGGATGGTTTTAAATTAGAAACTTGAAAATATTAACAAACTAATGCAGGTAATAAATTAATACTAGCACCCAAACCTAACAATACATTCCTAAAAATATATCCACCAATATTACAAGATATTAAAGGCGCACCTGGGTCCTTAAGCTTTTGTGGCATTTGATTCAGCAACATGGCACTTACATGAGTAAATAATTTTTCAGTTCTTGGTTCTCTCTTTGATTTGTAAAGTTCCTTCAAAATTTTTGCATACATTGGAATATCCTCCACCACCTACAAAAGAGAAACTTTAATATAAACATCTTGAAAAAATTTACGTAAATTTTCATTGACATCTGATTTCTTTTTCTGCTTTGATTTCAGCACATCTAGAAAGGGGACAGTCTTGGATTTTGGTGAAAAAATCTCTACCATCTTCTTAAATTGTTGTAGTTGCTCTTGTTCTTCATCTTCCACAATCGTTGGCTCTTCATTCTCATGTGTTTTTTCCATCTCTTCACATATTTCAAGTTTTTTTTCTGCATTCTCTTTTTCTTCATATGGATTGTTGCGAATTTTTCCACTTCTCAATGTGGTGACCGCCTTAATTTGTTCATTTTGAGGTGCTTTATACTTGTTTCTCCAACTAGGTTCTCCTTGTTGAAATTCTTGTTGTTGACTATTTGGATTTGATAAGGTCTAACTTGAAAGTTGCCTTGGTTGACTTATTTCTCTTTTTGTTGAATTTGTAACTATCCTTTGTTCCATTTGCATCATACTTTCTTGAAATTATTGTTGTTGCTGCTCGAACTTGTGTTGCATCTCTTGCTCAAAACTGATTTGATTTTGCATTATTTGACTCATCATTTGCTGCAACATGCTCATAGAATGATTAATTTGGCCATATGGAACATTAATGAATAAATTAGAGGAACTTGCATAGATCTAAATTTATTTTCAGTAGGTTTATTTTGGAAAAGTTGAGATTTCAAAACTACTGGATTTTGGATATTATTTGAATTTTTCCAAGAAAAATTTGGGTGATTTCTCCAATTAGGATTGTTCAACATGTGGACAATTTTCTTCATTATGTCTCTTATCTCCACATATTGAGCAAGCTGAATGTGACACATGAGAAGAATTAAAATTATTGTTAGTCATGAAAATATCAAACTTTTCATATAAAGATTTCATATCATTCACTTGCTGTTTAATTTCTTTCAAACCAGATTTCAATTCTATATCCTCAAAATTTCTTATATCAATTATTTCTCCCATTCTAGATGAACTTCTATCATAATTAGATGCAAAGGCATATTCATTGAATTTCAGTCATGTTTTCTAAAGCATTATATGCATCATCTTCACTTCAATTTAAAAATAGTCCTCCACATGCTCCATCTACCATTTGCTTAAAAGGGGGAAGTAATCCATCATAAAACATTTCAACTATTTGACTTTTAGGAATACCATGATGTGGACATTTCCTCATCAAGTCTTTCATTCTAGCCCATGCGTCATGAAAAACTTCTCCTGAATTTTGTGAAAAATCTAAAATTGCCTTCCTCATGGTTTTGATTTTTCCTCTAGAATAAAATCAATTCAAAAAATCTTGCAATAATGTAGTTCATGTTCTATTGTTTGTATCTAAAGTAGAAAACTAATAACTACCTTCATCCTTAAGAGAAAATGAAAATAGAGTTAATCTCATAGAATCATCCACTTCCTTAGTGGTAGCACAAATTCTTTAAAATTCTCTAAGATGAGCATAAGGATCTTCATGTTGACGGCCATAAAAACTAGGTAACATTTGAAAGACACTAAGTTTAATTTCTTTAGTACAAACAGGGTTTTGCAACAGGACTTCACATGGATATGGGGTGAAATTATCTTTCAATAATCTAGGTTGTTGATTGGCCTTTTGAAGATTTATATTTTAAGGATTCACATTTTTAAATTTTCTAGTAGAAGACTTTTTCTGTCTAAATTCAGAAAATTCTAACCTTGGGTTTAATGATCTCCTACCTAGCATGCACCACACAAAAAAAAAAAGAAGCAAACAAACAATAAACTAATAAAATAATAAAATCTGAAAAGAAATAAATAAATACAAATATCATAATTTTTTAGAAATATCTATTTTTTATCTATCACAAGGATCATAAAAAAAGTAATTTTAAAAAAAATCATTGAATATTTTCTGTCATTGTAAAGAAAATTCAGCAAATTTATAATTTATAAATTCTAAAAAATAAGCCAATTTAGAATAATTTAATTTTATAGGGGTTTTTCAGTCGAACATAAGGAAGATAAGAAATTAGTTAATTATATTTATAATTTCTAATTAAAAATTTTATTTTTTAGAATGTTTAATTATGAAAATTAATAAAGATAATATTAAAAATAAGAAAGTAGGGATTATGATGTCAGCTGACATCAACCCATAGAGAACACGCCCAAATTTGAGTTGCCAAAAATATGTCAACTTGTATTTCTCAAAATCAGAGCCAAAATACTTAGAAATAAACTTTGATTTGAAAGGAGAAATTGTCCCTAACATAATGTAGAACTGAATAAAACTTTATATAAATTAAAAAGAAAGTAAAATCATGCAAAGATTCAAGTTTTACGAAAGAATGGGCAGAATGGTCGACAATCAAATTTCCACCCAAATTTGATCGATTTGTGCAAGCACGGTGCACCGAATAGACTCCTACACAATCTCTAGTCAATGAATGACGATCCCAACAACTCTCACTTGCTAGACCAAATTATGGTGATGGTTCAACTCTGAGCATGCCGCGGTGTTCGGAGAAGGATGTTCGGAATAAATTCTTCGTTGTTTGTATCAGGTGAAGAATGGGATGAGTTCATGGATGAAGTTCAGCTTCTATAGTGGCTGAATCAGGGAGAAGTCAAGAAGAAATCTATTTTTTGTATCTGATAGATGATTTGCGTGATTCTAGCATTCATCACCACTAGAGGAGAGAGAAAATGGTTGTGGAGAGCAATAGATTGATCGAAGATGCCCAATTCTTACTCCTCCCAACATTTTTCCATCTTCTTGTGTGTTAATTCTGTCAATTTCATCGGATCAACTACTGTACTTGTTGCTGCATTCATTATGTCTGTCATTGATGCAGATAACCTAAAAAAATAAATTAGTCTCATATTTAAATTTTATTATTATATTATTATTATTTATCATAATAAGATCAAGAAACTTCAGGAAAAAATCATAAATAAATACAACTAACATAGAATTAGTTTGATAATAATATTAATCATTGGAAAAACCTATCAAAATATTTTATAGTCAATTTCATCATGTAATTTCTAGAAATTGACAATATAATCATATAAATAAGTTTAATATCATTTATTTTAGATTAAAAAAATTATAAATATTTCTATAAAATTAAATAATAAATTATAAGTAATTAATGAGAGTTATCAATTATCTTTCGAATCCATTTTGGTTTTAAATATTCATTTACAACCAATAGGATTTGCACCTTCAAGTAATGATCATCTTCCATCACTCTGATGTCATCCTCATATTCGAAAAAAATATGATATATTCATCTGAAATTGTATTCCTCCTCTCTTTAGTGGATCTTTTTAATGGCACTAATTATTGATTATGTTGAGTTTGTTGTGTTGAAGTGAGAGGCATGATAATATTATTTTGATCTGAAATTGCTTCTTGATCAATGTTTAGTCAAGATAATGTCATCAAGACCATTGACAATACTAATAAAAGGAATATTTACATATTGTTCTTCAAAATCAATATCTTATCTCCCCCTGTAAACTCAATATCTTCAAAGAAACAAATATTTCTTGTCTCAAAAATAATCTTAGTAGTGAGATTATAAAACTTATACCTCCTACACCTTTCTAAGTGTTCAATAAAGTAAAAACTAAATATTTTGGAGTTAAGTTTCCTTTTATTAGGTTTGTAAGGTCTTGCCTTCGACAAACAACTCCAAATGTGCACATGCTTTAGACTAGGCTTCTTGTTCGTCCAAAGCTCATAAAGAGTTTTAATAGTTGTCTTAGTGAGAACCTAATTAAGCAAATAGACTGTAGTCTTTAGTGCTCCTCTCCAAAGGTTATTTGATAAGATAGATTGATTAATTCTACTCCTTACCATATCTATAAGTGTTCTACTTTGTCATTTAACAACACAATTCATGCTAGGAGATTTTGAAAAAGTATACTATGGGACGATACCACACTCCTCTACAAATTTAGTGAAAGGTTCTAGATGTTGCTCACCTAATCTATCATATCTACCGTAGTATTCACCATCACAATCTGATCTGATGGCCTTAATCAGTTTGTTGAGTTGATTCTCAACTTCAACCTTATATTTCTTAAATGCATTCAATAATTGAGACCTCATGAATAAGATATAAGTACCCAAATAGAGAATAATCATCAATGAATGTAATAAAATATTATTGATCATTCTAAGAGGCTATAAGAAATAGTCCACAAATATATATATGTATTAATTACAAGACATCTGAAACTTGATTGACACATATTTTCATTATGTTTATTATTTTCTCCTTGATACATTTGACACGTGTCAAAATTCTTATAATCCAATGGGTCAAGAATTTTATTAGACACAAGTTGAAGCATTTGTGGTAAGAAATTTGTTCGTGGGTCATTTGAATCAATAGTTTGCTGAGGAACTGTTCGTGCGCAAGGGGGAGGCTACCAATCATTTGGTACCCGCATGAGTTCACAACAGTGTTGATGACCGACATGAGAATGCGGTTGGACCCAACAATTCTACTAATTCTACATAGGTGAGGTGGTCTTTTGATAGAATGAAATCGAGGGTCGTTGAAAGTCCCAAAATCAACTGATGAAAAAATATTTAGAATCACGACTTTACCAAATTAAAATATTAAAATAGGTAAGTACTATGGTAAGTTTGAGGTTGATCCACATGGAATGTGAATTAGGCATTCCTTAGTTACTATTTAATTTGATTGATAGATTTTAATTCAAACTAACACAATGGAGAGGCAATGGCAAATAGAAAGAATTTCACTGTCAAAAAGAGGGAAACGGAAGTTCAGCGATGTAGAAGATGATTAAAGGGAGGAAACACTCACAAACAATTCGCAATACGAAGTTAACACCGTACCTCTATCTATTCAAACCTACGGAAGCTAGATTGTTGTTCACACTCAAACACATTGGACCTAGAGAAACTTACCTTGGGCCTCTATATTTCGTCAAGGCTAGGCAATTTCCTCTTCGAGTATGCTTCTCCGACGATCTTAGCTGTGAACCAAAGCTTAAATCAACTTGAACATATCAAGATTGACGTGGAACCTCAATGTGGTTTCATTCAAGCCAACTAAATATTGGGACATTCAAAGTTAAGTTCTTTCGCCCCTAAATGGCGGCTTAAATGCATAAGGGTTTACACGAGAGGATGGAAATACATGTGTCGGGTTGTGATTAAATGAAGGCATTTTTGTCTTTTTGGATGTGATAAGATCATACAAGAGATAGCTTCTTCTCAAGTTAATCTGAAACATTGGATTTGAAAGTCTTGTCGTAGCCGTAGGATCTTCTTAAATGTTGAGATCCGCTGCACCCTTAGTAAGTATACTCTATCTACTGTTGATTGTGTGGACGTTCTCGACAGCTTTTGATCTCCTCATTTGATGATGCCACATGTCAACACTCCAGCCCTTGATTTGTTGCCTCATCTCTAGATATCAGATCTCGTCTATTGA